TTTACAGTTAATCTTCAATTATTTATGATTATTAGGTTAGATTTTGATTCATTGTTGAGTCAGATTCACAACTATATAGTTCACAATTATAGTTCACCCATGCATAGACACACGCATATGTATGAACAAAAATTGAAGAGTGAACAGACTGAAAGGAAGAGAGAAGAAGAAGAAGAATGATATGTGAAAAGACTGGAGTATTATTCCTTGTTGAGAATCATCCGTCTTTTTGTTCCCAACCATGGGGGCATGCTATGCAAAGGCATTATCTAGCTATAAAGACCAAGCAGGATGTCTCCCACTATACCTTCAAACCAAACCTTTAATGGGCCTAATCGCATTGAAAATACCAAGGTCACCCCCTTCTAACTGATTATTCCTTATTGAGTATCATTCATCTTTTTGAAGTTCATTACCTCGAGTTAATTCTATTTCATCCAATCAGCATATACATGCTAAATAAAACATATTTGTGAAAAACATACTCAAAAGATGAAGGAACAATCCCAAAATAGTTTTGTTAGCATATATTCCGCATTATGCATAAGATAATAGTGTTTCCTTAAATTAATGCATTTGTACATATTGCATTCCTTATACTACCGTCATAATGTATGGTTGTTCATACAACAATAATGCAATATCAGAGGAAATTTATGCAGAACTGCATAAAGATAATGATTGAGAAGAGTTTCAACCAGTCAAATTTACTTTTATTTCTAGACTAAGTAAACTAACTCTCAACAAAGTAGTACGCCTCTTTCCTTTGGAGATAGTTTTAATTATATGAAATTTAGAGCTCCTAATTTTGAAGCAAAGATGCCAAATGTTGGCTTACATTCAATTGACCGTAGGTCATCCCAGTTTCGTTGGATATAGTTTTGATTATATGAAGTTTAGAGAAACTACATTTTGAAGCATGCACGCAAGAAGGAATAAGGATTAGGATTTGTCATTAGATTATAATTTTCCTTAGTAGTATTCATGGTCACTAATTTTCAGTCAAGTAGGAGTCAAATAATGAAAAAGGGCAGACTTGTAGAACACTTACTAGTTTTTTTGTTGTTGCTAGAGAACATATAAAATTTTAATGAAGAATGAGTGAAGATTTGATAGGATGTATTGTAAATGCTTTACATTGTTTGAAGACTGAAATGACGCACATGAACAAAAACACATATTGGCTCAAAATTGAAATTTTTTTATTTATAATTTTTTATAAACACATCAAATTGGCTGAATCATGGATAGTGCAATTGTACCACTTCTTCATACATGTACATGTATCGATGAATGGATGAAAGATGATTATAAATAGTATTACTCTCGCACTCCTTTCAATTTTTTTCACTCTCATTCTTCTTCTTCTTTTTCTCCCACTCCTTTTAGTCTTTTCCTTTTTTATTCTTCTTCATACATATGCATGCATTCATGCAGGGGTGAACAACAACTATAAATTGTGTATAACCCTTCTACTTCTTTTAGTCTTTTTACTCTCACATTCTTTTTCATACATATGCATGCTTCCATGCAAGGGTAAACTGCAACCATGAATAGAGTATCAATCTTTCATCCCTTTCAACATTTTAGCAATATGATTTTCTTCTTTTTTTCCCACTCCATTTAGTCTTTTAGTCTTTCTTTCTTCTTCACACTTGTGCATGCGTCCATGCAGTTGGTATACGTTGTTTGTTCTGGTCTTTCTCATTGGTATATAATGTTTGATATAACATGTTTCCCGTTCTTCACTTTTTCTAACTATGCATTGAAGTGTTTTAGTTAATAAATCATTTGTTCAGTACAATGTTTATGGTTCTGAAACATTGATGGGCCTATCTTCAAGAAAGTTATTTGTTTACAGTAAGCTCTAAATGGGGCCAACATCTTGAGATTCAGATTTTTTTTTGTGCTTCTTGTTTTCCTAAACCTGCTGTTGTTTTTAATTTTTTTTTCAAAAAAATTCTCTTTTTCGTTTTATTTTAAAAAAAAAAGATATTTCAAATTTGGCTGGTTGGCATATTAAGGGTTTGGTCCAAAGGTATAGTAGTGGGAAGACGTCAAGCTTGATCTTGAGCTCGACAATGCCCTTATACAGCAAGCTCCCACGGTTGGGCATAAAAGTGTGGATGATTTGTAATTTATAAAATCTATCTTTAGTTTTCCATTAGGAATTTCCAATTTTTTTATAACACCTCTCTCTCTTTCTCTCTTTCTCCATCTACCAGAGATTTGTTAGTTTTGTTCCTCCCATCTCAGTTTTTTCATCAAGTTTCAAGCTTTGTTGCCTTCAAGGACACCCATCTTCTTCTTTGTGTAATGCGTGAATTGACTCATAGATGAAGGTTCGGTTGGTATACTTTGTTCGTTCTGGTCCCTCTCATTTGTTTGTAATGTTTGATATAACATGTTTCCTGTTCTTCACTTTTTCTAACTGTGCATTGAAGTGTTTTAGTTAATAAATCATTTGTTCAGTACGATGTTTATGGTTCTGAAACATTGATGGGCCTATCTTCAAGAAAGCTATTTGTTTACAGTAAGCTCTAACTGGGGCCAACATTTTGAGATTCAGAGTTTTTTGGTGCTTCTTGTTTTTGTAAACCTATTGTTGTTTTTAATTTTTTTTTTAAAAAAATCCTCTTTTTTTTCATTTTTTCATTTTTCTTTTTAAAAAAAATTCAAATTTTGTTGGTTGGCGTATTAAGGATTTTGTCCAAAGGTATAGTAGTGGGAAGACGTCGAGCTTGGTCTTGAGCTCGACAATGCCCTTATACAACAAGAACCCGCGATTGGGCTTAAAAGGGTGGATGATTTGTAATTTCAAAAAGATCAACGACTCTGATTTATAAGCATGTGACACCATTGATCTTTTTGATCTAACGACTATTAAAAGATGTGTCAAATTTCAAATTTGACATGATGTCAAAGGATCCTTTTTTTTTTGAAATATGATATCAAAGGATCCTACCTCATCATAAATATTAATTAACATCATAAATATTTGTTTAATCAAATAAAAAGTAATATAGTAAATAAGTCTCGGCCGTATTTTTGGAATCCTTACAATTTAAAAATATTAAATTTATTACCTTCTATTAGGATTTGATAATTAAGTTTTATTTTAAATTTTGGCAAAAGAATAACTATTATTTGGGTTAAGTGGATGTTCTTTAAAAGGACACAAGTTGTGTCCTTTTAGTGACTTACATAAAGTCTGACCAGTAAAATTTTGTATAAATCTAATATGTTTTTTTTTTTTTTACTTTACACGTCAGCGCGGTATGACTGGGGAGAGAAAAAAAATAACTTTTCGGATTTACACAAAGTCTTACCATCAGACTTTGTGTAAATAAGCTAAAAAGACATAAAGTCACATGATTTGAAATACTTGTAAATTTTATTATTAGTTATATTTTTTTTTTTTGGGAAAAGAGTTTTTTCATGTAGCATGATATCAAATTATTTACAACAACACCGAAAGGACATCATTTTGTGATTTAAGGAAAAAAAAGTGCAAAAGTATTTTTTAAATTTTACCTTTCTCTTATCATCAATTTTACTAAAGAGAAAAATGTTTATTCTTATAAATAACACAACTTATATTATTTCACTCTCGCAAAGAAATAGGACCACACCTTTATTTTTTTGTCGACTCTCTCTTCCCTCATCTATCTCTTTTTCTTTCTTAAAATAACATAACTTTACATCTTTTAAAATGACATACATTTTTCTCTTTATTAAAATATGTTACATTTTGTTTTGAGGTTTGCAAAACAAAGTTAATCTCTTATTTTATACAATCATGAATTTTAACATTTTTCATAAAAGAGTATAATGCTTTGAAAAGGATTCCGCTACTAAATAGTAGACTACAGAGTATTTAAATTGTTTAATAAAAAAATAAATCCAATCAGCATATACGCAACCACGGAAATGCGCACAAGTCACGGAAATATTTAAGGGTGCATGATGGGTCTTTCATTAAATGCATGACACCTGATAACCACGGAAATGCTTTCTTCCATAAAATGCCAGTTTCTTATTGGTTCGCCCCACCAAATAACCAAATCTATTGGCACCGGGTACATTAAAATTTCACTCACAAGTCACCTGGCTGGTTGCGTCTCATGGAATTGTATTATTTCGGAATTTTAAATTTATATTATATGTGTAATTTATTTTTAAATTTACATTAATTATATCATTTTCCCTTTCCATATCCTACGATCTCGTGTCTTCATCGAGTGGGACATGGCATAACAAACATTTCATCCTATTCTCTCTGTCCAATTCTTGCCAGAAACCCAATCTGTATTATGATATTTATTTTATTTTATTTTATTTATTTGTTTTTTCATTTTAATTTTCATTTCTAAAAAATCCATGCTATATCATTTATCAAACAGAGGCTTTACCTGATTTTAATCTGTATACTTTGAGCAAGGTTACATTGAAACTTCTACGAGATGAAATTGTTGTCAACATCCTTACTTGTCTCACGCTTATATGAGAGTCAGTAATTATTTATGGAAGAAAGCATTTCTTCATTTCGGTTTGACAATCCTTATTCCTACTACACGGCTATTAAAAAATATCACTAGATTGAAAGAGAAAAAGAAAAAAGAAATGGATCTCACAAGAATACAAATGCAATGGCTTTTAAACAATTTGGCAACAAACAATCATATAGATGGCTTCATGCATAAGGAAGACATTTTTCAAAGCATGAGGTTCAAAGAAATTTCACAATTTCTGGTCTTCCTTATTTTTTTCAAGTCTTCTAGTTCAGCACCATCCATCTAATTTCACATGCCTGCCCTGACGCATAAGATTGTTTTATTTGGTTATTAATTAATCACATCCTTCACATAATTTTTTATTTAATAAGATGTGTTACCTTGTATTGCAAACTGTATAATTTGATTCCAGTATTGCAAACTGGGAAGTAAACATCACTTAGCAAGCCCATTTGAATCAATCCTTGTTCTCTTGTTCCATCAACCATGGTGACTTTTACTTCACAAATTTCAATTCTTTTGCTTCTGTTATTATCTGCGACCACATTCCACATAAGCATGTCTCTTCGTTGCAATGAGAAGGATCGAGGTACACTGTTATTATTCAAACAAGGCATCATTGATCGTTACAATTATCTTTCCACATGGTCAAAAGAAGAAGACTGTTGTGCATGGAAAGGAGTCCAGTGCGAAAATATTACAGGCAGAGTTACAAAGCTTGAACTCGGACAAACAGATGTTCATGAACCTTTGACAGGTGAAATTAACTTATATTTGCTGAAACTTGAATTTCTGAATTACTTGGACTTGAGCTTCAATGAGTTTGATGTGATAAGTATTCCACCTACTCTTGAATATATCACATCTGCATCTAACCTTCATTACCTTGACTTATCCTACAATTTTAATCTTCAAAAGGATAATCTTCATTGGCTTTCTCCACTTTCTTCCTTGAAATATCTCAACCTCGGTGGAATCGATCTTCACAAAGAAACCAACTGGCTTCAATTGGTGGCTATGCTTCCTTCACTGTTAGAGTTACGATTGAGTGATTGTAAACTTAACAACATCAGCACATCTCTTGAGTATGTGAATTTTACTTCACTTGTAACTCTTGATCTTTCCGACAACAATTTCAACTCTGAATTACCATACTGGTTGTTTAATCTCAGTAGTGGCATCTCTCATCTTGAACTTCAGGACAGTAATTTACACGGTGAAATACCTTCCAGCTCATTAAGCCTAAGAAATTTAAAAAACCTTGATCTATCTTGGAACGACCTCACAGGATCAATTCCAAATTGGTTTAGCCAATTAGAACATCTGCAGCACCTTGATCTATCCAACAACTTGTTTTCTGGTTCCCTTCCCTCAACGATTGGAAATCTCTCATCCTTAGTTTCCTTAAGAATTGGCTCTAATTCCTTCTCTGGTGCAATATCTGAAACATCTTTTTCCAAACTCTCAAATTTAGAATATCTGGACTTGAGCAATTCCACGACTGCATTCCATTTCAATCCTGAATGGATTCCTCTTTTTCAGCTCCATAGCCTTTTTTTGTCAAATACAAAAACAGGTCCCAACTTTCCACCATGGATATATACACAAAAGTCACTAAGATATTTATATATATCGAGCTCAGGAATTTCAACCGTAGATGGAGATAAGTTTAGGAGCTTAATAGCAGGGAATTATTGGTTTCTCGATATGTCCAATAATTCACTCAGTGAAGACTTATCGAACGTGACATTGAACTCTACCCATGTAAAGTTGGACCATAATAATTTCAAAGGAGGGCTCCCACATCTATTGCCAAAGACATTCGGCGTGGATTTTTCTTACAACTCCTTCTTAGGATCAATTCCACTTGGTTGGAAAAAATTGAAAATTTTGTATTATATTAACTTATGGAGTAACAGGTTATCTGGTGAAGTTTTAGTCCACCTCTCAAATTTGACGGAATTGGTATTTATGGATATTGGAAAAAATGAATTTTCTGGAACTATACCAATCAAGATGCCACAGAAATTACAAGTGATGATGATATTGAGATCTAACCATTTTGAGGGCGATATTCCATCCCAACTATTCAATCTCTCTTCTCTGTATCACTTGGATGTTGCCAACAATAAATTTTCAGGATCTTTGCCTCAGTGTGTCTATAACATGACTCAAATGGTTATGGATACTTTGGACTCTAATCCCATCTTTGAGACAATGGATTTGTTTACAAAAGGGAATGATTATGAGTATCTAAGCAATCCGCATAGGCGAACTATTGACCTTTCAGATAACAACCTGTCTGAAGCAATTCCCTCAGAATTATTTGGGTTGATTCAAGTTCAAACATTGAACTTATCTCACAATCATTTCACTGGAAAAATAGAGAAAACGATTGGAGGCATGGAAAATATGGAATCTCTTGATCTCTCCAATAATAACCTTTCTGGAGAAATTCCTCAAAGCATGGCTGTTTTGTCTTTTCTCGGTTATTTGAACCTATCATATGATGGGCTTCCACAAGTGGGCTGTTCTCAAATAGAGCCTTATAAGAAGATATATCAAAGGAAGGGCAGCAAGGGAAAGGAGGAAGGGAGCAAACTAGTGGCACGTGAACAGCAGGAAAATAAGGGAGAGTTGGTTATAAAAAATGCCACATGGCAGGCTGTGAATGGAGAGGAATTAGTGGAAGGGGGGATGGAAAATGCAAGGGAAAGAGAGCAGATATAGTGTGCGAGGAAACGGTTAAAGGGTATGAGATTTGTATTGAGCTTTTAGAGAGGTTGGCTATTGAGGCAGGGGCAGTCTCTTAGCTGGGGAAAATCTGGAACACTCAAGCGGGTAGTTCATTTACGGATAGTTGTTTTTTTCTGATTCAATTAAGGTCCATAGAATGGCACCATTGTAATGCTGCAATTTCTGTTTGTAGCTATTCAGCAATATATGAGGTTTTCAGTATTAATTTCCCTTCTTGTTGAGCTATTTTCTGTGTTTAATTACTGGTGCCATTAATTTGGTATCAGAGCCCTTCCGGTCCTAGGGGGAGCTTTATGGTTCGTACTCGAATGGATAATAGAATGGATGACGTCGAACGACGGTTTGAGGTGAGGATGACAGGTATGGAAGAGAGATTCACTCAATTCCAAGAGACGGTGATGGCTGCGTTGAACCGAATAGAGAACCGTGAGGTGAACATGGAGAACAGAGGTGGTGCTGGGAATGGTCATAACCTGGATCGTAATCGAGGAGGGGGTGCTGCAAATAATCAGGGCAATGACGAACGCGCACGACGGGTAGAAGTCCCTTATTTCTTAGGTGAAGACCCGTATGGATGGATTTTTCGAGCTGAGCGTTATTTTAGGGTGAACCGCATCCCAATGGAAGAGCAAGTTGAGACAGCTTCGATTTGCCTCGAAGGTAAGGCTCTGAGTTGGTTCCAATGGTGGGAACCTAGAAACCCCTTGGCAGATTGGGGAGGTTTCCGAAACGCAATCCTGGAGAGGTTTCACAACTCAACTTCTGGGAATCCTTATGAAGCGTTGATGAGTTTACGGCAGGTTGGGTCAGTGGCAGAATTCAGAGAGCAATTTGAGATCCTATCGGCTCCGCTTCAACACGCGGATGATGAAATCATGAAGGCTGCATTTCTCAACGGTTTGAAAGAGGAAATCCGTGCAGACTTACGTGTGCATTTCCCCGCAGATCTTCCGCAGATGATGAGGTTGGCGCAACGGTTAGAGGAGAGGGAGGCCATATTGGGCCGCGCTGGTACCTTGTTGGGCCGAAATGGTGTGGGCTCAGGTTTTAATAGCGGGTATGGGTCCAGAACTGCATTACCTAACAGAGAGTCTAAGGGGAATGGTGGGGGTTCGCAAATGAAGGGAAGGAATGGGCCTCAATACACGGCCCAATTTAATGGGACCCAAACGGACAGCAATAGTCCGTCCCATGGCAGTACGGGTGGAAGTGTTCACCCTAATCGTGGAGGAACTCAGGAAAGCGGTGGAGGGAGCAACGCGGGGCGAACGACAACGACGGGATACACAGAAGGGCGGCGGGGATCTCGTTTCCGGCGACTCTCCGATGAGGAAATGGAAGAACGCAGGAGACGCAATCTTTGTTTCCGGTGTGAGGCACCCTATTTTCCTGGCCACGTGTGTCAGGGACCGTAGCTACATGTCATGATTTTAGAGGAAGAGGCTGACGAAATGGATGAGGTGGTGTTACAGGAGGTGGCGAGGGAGATGACGACGGAGGAGACGGTACAGCTGGGCTTACATAGCGTGGTAGGGCTGACGTCACATAAGTCTCTAAAATTAGCAGGAATGGTGAAGGGTCAGAACGTGGTGGTGTTAATTGATACTAGAGCATCCCACAACTTCATAGCTACACACGTAGCAGAAGCTTTACAATTACCAGTGGATTCTTCGAAGTCTTTCATGATTATGGTTGGAGATGGACACCGGGTAGTGAGCAGCGGGCGTTGTAGGGAGGTGACGGTGGAACTTCCAGAACTGGTGGTGACTCAGGATTTTTTTGTCTTTGATTTGAGGGGAGTAGATATAATCTTGGGGTATGAATGGTTGGCTGAGTTGGGGGAGATACAAGCCAATTTTAAGGAGATGAGACTCAAAATTCCGTGGAAGGGAACTGAGGTGACCATAGTGGGGGATCCTTCCCTTGCTTGCAGTGGAGTGTCGTCTGGGAAAATTGAGGGGTTCCGCAGAAAGGGAGCAGAATTATTCTATATAGAAGTGGGCTATGGCGTGGAGGATACGTTGACAGATTCCAAGAACCCACCGCAAATAGATCAGCTGCTATTAGAATTTGAGGATATCTTTCAGCCTCTCTCTGAATTGCCCCCAAAAAGAGAGTGTGATCATCGAATCCTCATTAAGGATGGCTCTTCCATTCCAAACTGCAGACCCTATCGATATCCTCATTATCAAAAGGGGGAAATTGAGAAATTTGTGAAGGACATGCTTGCTGCAGGGATGATTCGACCCAGTACTAGCCCGTATTCTAGTCCCTTAATTATGGTGAAGAAGAAGGACGGGAGTTGGCGTTTCTGCACTGACTATAGGGCTCTTAATAAGGTAACTGTACTTGACAAATTCCCGCTACCTTTAATTGATGAATTGTTGGATGAATTGGGTGGAGCAGGAATTTTTTCCAAACTAGATCTTAAATCTGGGTATAATCAAATAAGGATGAGGGAGGAAGATATTGAGAAAACTGCCTTTCGCACTCACGAGGGGCATTATGAATATTTAGTATTGCCTTTTGGTTTGTGTAACGCACCCTCAACATTCCAGTCTTTGATGAATACTGTTTTCAAGCCTTATTTACGAAAATTTGTGCTAGTTTTCTTTGATGATATTTTGGTGTACAGCATGAATAGTGATGAGCATATAGGGCATTTGCGCACTGTGCTGGAAATTCTCAGAACAAACCATTTGCACGCGAATTAAAAGAAGTTCAGTTTTGCCAAAGAAGAATTGGATTATTTGGGCCATTTAATTACCAGAGGAGGAGTTAAGGCTGACCCCAGTAAGCTGGACGCCATAAGCACGTGGCCAATCCCTCAGAATTTGAAAGCTCTACGTGGATTTCTTGGGCTGACGGGCTATTACCGTCGATTTGTGAGACGATATGGGCATATGGCTCGACCACTCACACAGCTGCTGAAAAAAGACAATTTTAAGTGGGGAGAAGAGGCTCAATCTGCTTTCGACGAGTTAAAGGCAGCAATGGTTCAGTTACCTACGTTGGCTATGCCTAATTTCGAAGAAATATTTGTGGTTGAGACGGATGCGTCGGGGATAGGGATGGGAGCAGTATTGATGCAATCAGGCAGACCCATCGCTTTCTTAAGTCAGGCATTTTCTGAAAAGGAGCGAATTCTGTCCATCTATGAAAGAGAACTGAAGGCCATTGTTTTTGCTGTACAAAAATGGCATCATTATCTCATGGGACGCCATTTTATTATACGCACGGATCAGAGGAGTCTTAAGTATCTTACGGAGCAAAGGGTAATGATGGAAAATCAACAGAAATGGGTGGCCAAATTGATGGGTTTCGATTTTGAAATCCAATTTAAACCGGGTGTAGAAAATAAAGCAGCAGATGCGTTGTCAAGGGTAATGGAGTGTAGGGAATTAACTTTAGTGACAAGCCCAGATCTGTGTACTATAGCAGAGGAGGTTTTACATGATGAGGGGACTCATAAAATCATGTTGGAGGTGCTACTAGACAGTGAATCCCATCCGGGGTATCACGTGAGGTCAGGTTGTTTGTGGTTTAAAAATAGATTGGTGATTCCCAAGGCTTCTGCAAGTATTCCTTTGATTTTACAAGAGTTCCACTCTTCTCCTTGGGGTGGACATTCGGGAGCATTGCGGACTTTCAAGAGGATTTCAGCAGTTTTTTATTGGAAAGGTATGAATAGGGATATTGCAAAGTTTGTGCAGGAATGCAATATTTGTCAACAGCAGAAATATGACAATTTGATGCCTGGTGGACTCCTCCAGCCGCTGCCTATTCCTTCAGTTGTGTGGGAAGATATTTCAATGGATTTCATTGGAGGATTGCCTAAATCTAGGGGGTGGATACAGTATTGGTAGTAGTGGATAGGTTCACGAAATACGCTCATTTCCTAACATTGCTGCATCCTTATACTGCTCAAGATGTGGCAGAATTATTCATTAAAGAGATTGTTAGATTGCATGGGTTCCCTAGATCAATCATTTCCGATCGAGACAGGGTATTTATGAGCAAATTTTGGGCAGCAATTTTTAAATTGGCAGGCACCAAGTTGAAGTTTAGTTCGGCATATCATCCCCAAACGGATGGTCAAACCGAAGTTGTCAACCGCACATTGGAAACTTATTTGCGCTGCTTCATTAACGGTCACCCCAAGAGTTGGGCGAAGTGGTTACCATGGGCTGAATTTTGGTTTAATTCTTCTTTCAATAGATCTACTCAAATGACCCCTTTCAAGGCATTGTATGGAAGGGATCCTCCTTCCATTTTACATTTGGAAGGTAACAGCACTCCGGTGGCAGCTGTCGATCAGTGGGTACAAGTAAGGAATGCTATTCTTACTGATTTGAAAAATAATTTGTTAGTTGCTCAAGAGCGAATGAAGGTACAGGCTGATAAAAAACGGAGAGAGGTGGAGTTTCAAGTGGGGGAAAAGGTATATTTAAAAATTCAGCCATACAAACTTAGATCTTTGGCTAAGAGACTGAATCAAAAACTTAGTCCCAGGTTCTATGGTCCTTTTTCAGTATTGGAGAGGGTAGGACCAGTGGCTTACAAATTAGAGCTGCCTTCATACTCCAAAGTTCATCCTACTTTTCATGTATCACAATTGAAGAAAGCTGTTTGTGCTTCTACTACGGTGTTACAGCTACCGAAGTGTTTGTCTGATGAATTAGAGTTGAGAGTGAAACCAATGAAAACCTTACAGGCCAGAAGATTGCTGAATGGCAAGATGGAGTTATTAATTCAATGGGAGGGCCTTCCGGAGTCTGAAAGTACATGGGAGATGATGGAGGATGTCCAAGATCAATTTCCTCTATTCTACCTTGAGGACAAGGTAGTAGTTGAGGGGGGGGGGGGGTATTGATGGGCTTCCACAAGTGGGCTGTTATCAAATAGAGCCTTATAAGAAGATATATCAAAGGAAGGGCAGCAAGGGAAAGGAGGAAGGGAGCAAACTAGTGGCACGTGAACAGCAGGAAAATAAGGGAGAGTTGGTTATAAAAAATGCCACATGGCAGGCTGTGAATGGAGAGGAATTAGTGGAAGGGGGGATGGAAAATGCAAGGGAAAGAGAGCAGATATAGTGTGCGAGGAAACGGTTAAAGGGTATGAGATTTGTATTGAGCTTTTAGAGAGGTTGGCTATTGAGGCAGGGGCAGTCTCTTAGCTGGGGAAAATCTGGAACACTCAAGCGGGTAGTTCATTTACGGATAGTTGTTTTTTTCTGATTCAATTAAGGTCCATAGAATGGCACCATTGTAATGCTGCAATTTCTGTTTGTAGCTATTCAGCAATATATGAGGTTTTCAGTATTAATTTCCCTTCTTGTTGAGCTATTTTCTGTGTTTAATTACTGGTGCCATTATCATACAACAATTTTATTGGACAAATCCCAACAGGGACTCAACTTCAAAGTTTTGATGCGTCAAGCTTTATTGGGAATCTAGAACTGTGTGGAGCTCCTCTTTCAAAGTGTATCACACAAGAAGAGAATCCTAAAAATACAAACCAAAACAGAGGGAATGAAGATGGTGGCATAGAAAGAGAGTCACTGTATCTTGGGATGGGAGTTGGATTTGCGGTGGGCTTCTGGGGTATATGTGGTTCATTCCTTCTCATCAGGAAATGGAGACATGCATATTACCAGTTCCTTGATTATGTGGGTGACGAACTTTATGTTATGTTGATGGTAAAGTACAATAACTTTCGCAAAAGAGAGACACCTGCTGGTTGAGGTCAGTGAAACCTAACTCTACTAGAATTTACTTTTAATGGAAATATTGGCTTATCTTGAAAATTATATTTATAAATTTTTTATTTACAAACTATATTGACCGGTCATATTTCAATCAAGAGTGTATGACCGGTCATACTTAATGTAATTTGTAAAAAAAAATTGTAAACGGATCCTTCTCCATCTTTTCAAATGTGAGATTCTTTTGCTATGGTATAGCCACAATAGTATTTATATTAGTGATATTGCCCTAAAAGAGCCATCTAATTTTCACTGTTTTGTTATCACTACAAAAGACTAATGTTATAAGAAATCTGTCCTTATAATATGGTCTTTAGAGGTGAAAATACTGTTAGTCAATGACAGAAGCCCAGCAGCCATCTAATTAGTAGCACGTCTTAAGTTTCATTTACTTAAAAACCAATTTTGTGACACATTAAGTGTTGAACTAAGAATGACTTGAAAGCATACCCATCTCTTGTATCCGAAATCATCCAAGTGGCAACTAACATACAATAAACTTTCATAATCGCAATTATTTAGCACCATAATTTAACTTTCATTGTGCCTCAATGATATTTTTAGTAAAGAAGATTGTTTTTATAGAATGAGAAGTATCCTGCTCCTCTGATTGATAAAAGTAACATACTTTTTTTGTTTTTTCAAAAGAAACTCAAACTACACAAATATAAACATTTCCGACTTGCAGTTTCTCATGGGAAGCTTAGCACTTACTATTAATTAGGAGGAATACCCTAAAAATGGAACTGTTTTAAATTAGTCCGGTAATTGTAATCCATGTGTTTATTCTGCACCTATTTCAGCTTCTTCTTCATTTTTGTCAGTTTCATTTTATATTATATCTTAATTTGCAGTGCATTGAAGCCCAACATGTTTCTGATAGATGCGGCAGAAGGTGCTATGGTTCCATTAGTCTTCCCAAGTTGTGTTTGGTTGTTCAGTTTTTGAATTATCTTTTTATTTACTTTCCTTTTTTATGGGTTTTGTTGGCCATTGTTTTTGTAATCTCTTTAATTTCTGTTGCATAGTGCTGGGTTTGTATTTTTGTTTTACCTAATGGTCAAACACATATTCTTGAAGTTAATATTACTGGGTTATCAGTGCAATTTACACGTCTAAGTTATTTCAAATCTTTACTTCTCCAAATAGTATAAAAGTACGTGGTGTGAAAAACTCCATTGTGGGATTAGCATGGTAGAATATATCTATCCATATCTATCTATATTTATGTATAAATCAAGGCTAATTTAAAGGAAATTCATGACATGTTTCAAGTTTTATACAATTATCTCACTTCTTCAGATGGTAAAATTTACAAATTTCAAATTTCAAATTTCAAAAATTAAACAATAAAAATAACTTCAAAATTACTTAATCAGATTTGAAATGAGAGAACGTACCCAGTCAATTATTTTTACACATCCTGCGAATTATTTTTTATAGGGATAATTTAGAATTGATCGTGTATTTGAACTAAGTAACGAATAAATTGTCAACTATGTGAATTAACTCTTATTGACACATATCTCATTATGTAAATTAGATATAATGCGCAGGTGCATGCTTAATTTTTCTAAAACTAAAAACAAAAAATCTTAAATATAAACTTTCATATATAAACAGAGAGGTTATATTTTCCACAAGATAAATTTATCTTCCTTACAATTAACTAAGAATGAGGATAAGATCCGTTCTTCTTTGGAGACCGTCAGCTAATGGGGAGTTCGGACCGGTCATCGAACTAGTTGAGGTATTGGATCACTAGGTCATTGGTTTAATCGGGTTGAACCGGATTTACTTTTCACATATTAAAAATATAAAAATATTACTTATATTAATAAAAATTCACATAAGAAAACTATCAATGAGCTTCAAAAAATAAATTGATTTTCAATGATAATAAATATTATATACTTCTAAGTTTTTAGCTCTAGACCATATCTTAATATTGGATTAAAATTGCAATATAAGTTAAATGCACCTTTTGTGCTTGACATGATACGGATAAATTAAATCATGATAACAAATTAATAGTATGCAACTATGCATGAAATATACACTAAGAAAAAAGTGTCACTGTTATCATGATAACAAATAGCATGCATGAAATATACACTAAAAAAAATATCCACGGTTGAGATGAGATCATGAGACCATCCGTGTTTATCACCACTTAACTTCATGAGATCATTATAAGATGCAACTAAATTACATAAACGAACTGCACTAATCTAAAATACCTTATTAACTTTACCTTACTTTTAATCATATTCATCATAAAATATGAATATGAGTTAATTCAAGAGTTTTTATCAACAAAAAAAATTTACCAAAAAAAAGAAAAGAATAACCGGTATAACTCGGATCAATCGGGTCGTCGGATTTCGGCCGGGTCAACCAGTCCAATCCGGGTTGACTGCAGGAGCGGTCCAACTACCCGTTCGGATCGGGAAACCCACCGAGTCACCAGGTCCCGGGTTGACCCGGTCGGTCCGAAAGGAAAAGTTCTGAATCAGTGTTGTAGTTGTAATCCATGTGTTTATTTTGCACCTGTTTCAGCCCTTTTTTTCTAGTCAGTTTCAGTTAGCATTTTATCTTGAACTACATTGTGGTGGCCCAAAAGAAAAGCCAAAGTAATGAACGGGCCAACAAGTTTCTAGCTAATATATGCTGCGGAAGATGCTTTACTTTGATTAGTCTTCACTAGTTGTGTTTTGTTGTTCAATTTCTGAATTGTTTTTTATTTATTTATTTATTTACTTTCCTTTTTGCTGTGTTTTATTTGTCACTTTTATATAAGACATGTTTGGTGTAATGTATAAGATCTAATAATATAAGCTTAAACGATACATTATGATATTTTTAATTATTTAGTGTAATAATTGTATAATATAAGTTTATACATCAGAATTTTTTATACATTAAAATAATGTATAAACCTGTCAGGATTTGGGAGCCTTACAGGCTCCTTAATTTGTGTTGCTCTGTGTAACACCCTTGACATGTCGCATAACAGTAATATTTTTAAATCAGTGATACAAATAATCATACAGCGGAAACAAATGATAAACTTTATAACATGAACGGTCCTCAGAAATACAGTTCTTATATTTACAATCATCACTTGACATTTCTCTAAATACTGACGTACGGTAACTTCAGCTGAACTGTTAACCGAACCACGTTCTTTTAAAAAATACTTATTCTTGTAAATTTAATCATAACCATGCAATATGCGATTATTGCGATGAAAAGTATCCATTTCAATCAAATATCATCAAAGACCAAGGGTAGACAGGAAATCACGCATCCTGGGCCAATTTCCCATATCTTTACATAACTATGTCCAATCACGAAAAACTATAAGGGTGTGTTTGGTAGAAGATTTTGTCAAGGATAGATAGGCAAATAGAAGTGGTATTTTTGGATGTCCGTGTTTGGTATCATGTTTTAAAAAAATTTGCTACGGAACTCATTTGCTTAGTATTTGTTTTTTGTGTGTAGAAAATACTGTTGAATAATACCACCTACAAAGTGGTATTTGGTGATAGATGAGAAAATCCAAAAAGAATTGTAAGTAAGAAGACCAAAATGACCCTGATGTTTGAGAAAACTACAACAAACTAAAACCATATTTTCCTATTTTATTTTAGTCAAGGGTTGTTGCGGTAATTTAACCATATTTTTCCATCTATATTTTACCTTCAACCAAACATAGACTTAAAAAATTCTACCTAATTTTTCCGGTAAAATTTTGATCAACTAAATAATTTTTTTTTTAATTTTCCTACCAAACTTTATTTATCACTATTTTTCTATCAATTATATTTCTTTAGTAAAACAAAATTTCTCCACCGCCAAATGGCAAATGATACACATTGGTCGCTTCGATGAAACACTCTTGTGTAGTTTGTGCGAGCCAACAAGCTTTTATGACCCCAAAAAAAAAAAGAACAACTCAAGCGGAACATGCTTTGTACCTGTGTGCAATTAAAGAGAATGCAATTATGCAAAGGCAAAAAAGCAGCATGGAATTCAAGCTGGACCATGTGCATGGCAGCTAGATTACCCTTCAAGAGGTATCAATAATTATTCACCTTTTTATCTTTATGTTCATATTATATTTAAGGGACTAATATTTCTCATAGTGTAGAAGATAAAATTATATATCTACTACAAATTTAAAAATAGATGGGACATATGTAGAGCTATGTAAAGAGAAGAGAGAAAAAAAGAAATATGTACACCACACGCTTTTATTTTTATGTGTGTAGAAGAAAAAATTATCTGATATAACATAAGAAACTTTAATCCCCAAAATTAATATTCATCTTCTCGTTCTTTCTGTTTTCGTTTCTGTTATTTTTAATTTCTACGTCGTTGTTAATGGCAAGATTGTGTTTACATCAAATTATATCTATTGATATCATTTGCTTCTAACGACTTTCATCACTAACAAATTAGACTCATTGGATAAAGTTGGATCAGCGATGTAACTTGATTCTTCGCCGAAACAGAACTAATATAAATAAATGTGCAATTCAAGCATAAGCAGCAGCTAGTAGCTATTGCTTGTGGCCAGTGATGTAATTAAGTTGAGGCGGGTTAGGTTTTAATTTAAATAGATTATGTTTATATAGAATATTTTTAGTCTTATATGTCTTATTAGCCTGGTGTAAATAAACTATACGTCTGAATTGGCCTATATTAAAAAATAAAAAACCTAGTCTAGGCTTGTTAAGTGTTTAAGTCTACGAAAGCCTTTAAAATTTATCAAAACTTATAAAAAAAATAAAAAAATAATCTTATTTTATTTTATTTAAATTAAAATAAATAATACTATATAAATTGACTTGTAAGCTTATAGGCTACTCCTTATAAAAGTAAGTTTATGACTTATAACTTACTTATTTTTTAAACTAGTTTTTTTTCAAAGTTAATGACTTATAACTTACTTATTCTTTAAACTAGTTTTTTTT